CTCCACTCACACTCGTGGATTTCGGGTTCGATCCCCTAGAGGGATTGTGAGTGCTGGATACGTTTTCTTTCACGTAAATGACGGACGACTAAGCAATAAATGTGTGAAATCGGTAGATGGTTAACTGCTATATCCACCCTCCTCTGTTGTGCTCTTAACTCGGCTAGCACCCTCCACAATAATTAAGGAAAGAGTTCCTCCTTCCTTCACAACAACTTCATACATCATACATCATACATTATACAGTATGGCCGCTGTTGTTGGTCGCTAACTGGCAACCCAACTCTGCCCCGCAGCTTAGCATATATGGGACCTTTGACAAGATGGTGGTTGCCCCGCTCCTGTGCCAGGTAAGTTACGGGCTCGCCATAGCCTGTGCTACTTGGACCTTGTTCCGAGTAGCTGAATCTATAACAACAATAAGACGGCGGCTTGCTCTCTTCATCGAGGCCACTACAATGATGCAGTCTCCGTGGTGTAGTCTTCGCAGTCTCCGTGGTGTAGTGGTAAGACACTCGCCTGGCGTTCCGCGAGCGCTATGTCATGGGTTCGTATCCTGGCCGGGGAGGATTTACTGGGCGCAATTCCTTAACTGTAGCCTCTGTTTAACGCAACAGTAAAATGTGTACTTGGATGAAAAAACGATTCTTCGCGGCAGGAGATCGTATTCCAGGGACCATAGGATTAAGGACTTGCCCGAAACGCTACGCGTACTAGTGGCTGTACAAGAATGTAACAACTCTTGTATATATCTCAAAAAAAAAAAAAAAAAAAAAAAATTATAGTTCCCATCAGGTAAAGTCAGGTTAATATTATAATATTAATTCAATCACAAAAATGATGCTATAATACCCAGATGGGAACTGTTGAGCTGGTTTGTGATGTATTGGTTTGTGTATTGGCGTGTTTGTGATCCGTGTTGGTGTATACATGAGGGGTGGAGGAAGATCAAGGGGACTGTTGTGGTTGTTGATCTGCACGGTATAGTGTTGAGGAATGTGACGTGGTTGGTGTGTTGTGATATAATTGTGAGTATTTGTGTCACTTGGCTTCTTCAGGAGCACATTTACCGCTGGTATAGTTACCCTGTTATGGCAGCTCCATACCCTAACCTAACCTAACCGTTGTCATGAAGCTAAAACAACCAGAAGTATTTGACAATTAGAACACACAACTATGCACAACAAAGCTGTTAGGATGAGTATGGGGAGCACAACACAACACTCACAGGATGAGTATGGGGAGCACAACACAACACTCACAGGATGAGTATGGGGAGCACAACACAACACTCACAGGATGAGTATGGGGAGCACAACACAACACTCACAGGATGAGTATGGGGAGCACAACACAACACTCACAGGATGAGTATGGGGAGCACAACACAACACTCACAGGATGAGTATGGGGAGCACAACACAACACTCACAGGATGAGTATGGGGAGCACAACACAACACTCACAGGATGAGTATGGGGAGCACAACACAACACTCACAGGATGAGTATGGGGAGCACAATACACCACTCACAGGATGAGTATGGGGAGCACACCACTCACAGGATGAGTATGGGGAGCACACCACTCACAGGATGAGTATGGGGAGCATACCACTCACAGGATGAGTATGGGGAGCATACCACTCACAGGATGAGTATGGGGAGCTCAATACACCACTCACAGGATGAGTATGGGGAGCACAACACAACACTCACAGGATGAGTATTTGGAGCACAACACAACACTCACAGGATGAGTATGGGGAGCACAACACAACACTCACAGGATGAGTATGGGGAGCACAACACAACACTCACAGGATGAGTATGGGGAGCACAACACAACACTCACAGGATGAGTATTTGGAGCACAACACAACACTCACAGGATGAGTATGGGAGCACAACACAACACTCACAGGATGAGTATGGGGAGCACAACACAACACTCACAGGATGAGTATGGGGAGCACAACACTCACAGGATGAGAATGAGGAGCACAACACATCACTCACAGGATGAGTATGGAGAGCACAACACAACACTCACAGGATGAGTATGGGGAGCACAACACTCACAGGATGAGTATGGGGAGCACAACACTCACAGGATGAGTATGGGGAGCACAACACTCACAGGATGAGTATGGGGAGCACAACACTCACAGGATGAGTATGCGGAGCACAACACTCACAGGATGAGTATGGGGAGCACAACACTCACAGGATGAGTATGGGGAGCACAACACATCACTCACAGGATGAGTATGGGGAGCACAACACTCACAGGATGAGTATTGGGAGCACAACACACCACTCACAGGATGAGTATGGGGAGCACAACACTCACAGGATGAGTATGGGGAGCACAACACAACACTCACAGGATGAGTATGGGGAGCACAACACTCACAGGATGAGTATGGGGAGCACAACACTCACAGGATGAGTATGGGGAGCACAACACTCACAGGATGAGTATAGGGAGCACAACACTCACAGGATGAGTATGGGGAGCACAACACTCACAGGATGAGTATGGGGAGCACAACACTCACAGGATGAGTATGGGGAGCACAACACACCACTCCCCGGATGAGTATGGGGAGCACAACACAACACTCACAGGATGAGTATGGGGAGCACAACACAACACTCACAGGATGAGTATGGGGAGCACAACACAACACTCACAGGATGAGTATGGGGAGCACAACACAACACTCACAGGATGAGTATTGGGAGCACAACACACCACTCACAGGATGAGTATGGGGAGCACAACACAACACTCACAGGATGAGTAAGGAGAGCACAACACAACACTCACAGGATGAGTATGGGGAGCACAACACAACACTCACAGGATGAGTATGGGGAGCACAACACACCACTCCCCGGATGAGTATGGGGAGCACAACACACCACTCACAGGATGAGTATGGAGAGCACAACACTCACAGGATGAGTATGAGGGAGCACAACACAACACTCACAGGATGAGTATGGGGAGCACAACACAACACTCACAGGATGAGTATTGGGAGCACAACACAACACTCACAGGATGAGTATGGGGAGCACAACACTCACAGGATGAGTATGGGGAGCACAACACTCACAGGATGAGTATGGGGAGCACAACACACCACTCACAGGATGAGTATGGGGAGCACAACACAACACTCACAGGATGAGTATTGGGAGCACAACACAACACTCACAGGATGAGTATGGGGAGCACAACACTCACAGGATGAGTATGGGGAGCACAACACTCACAGGATGAGTATGGAGAGCACAACACAACACTCACAGGATGAGTATGGGGAGCACAACACTCACAGGATGAGTATGGGGAGCACAACACTCACAGGATGAGTATGGGGAGCACACCACTCACAGGATGAGTATGGGGAGCACAACACTCACAGGATGAGTATGGGGAGCACAACACACCACTCCCCGGATGAGTATGGGGAGCACAACACACCACTCACAGGATGAGTATGGGGAGCACAACACTCACAGGATGAGTATGGGGAGCACAACACTCACAGGATGAGTATGGGGAGCACAACACTCACAGGATGAGTATGGGGAGCACAACACACCACTCCCCGGATGAGTATGGGGAGCACAACACTCACAGGATGAGTATGGGGAGCACAACACTCACAGGATGAGTAAGGAGAGCACAACACATCACTCACAGGATGAGTATGGGGAGCACAACACTCACAGGATGAGTATGGGGAGCACAACACTCACAGGATGAGTATGGGGAGCACACCACACCACTCCCCGGATGAGTATGGAGAGCACAACACAACACTCACATGATGAGTATGGGGAGCACAACACAACACTCACAGGATGAGTATGGGGAGCACAACACTCACAGGATGAGTATGGGGAGCACAACACACCACTCACAGGATGAGTATGGGGAGCACAACACTCACAGGATGAGTATGGGGAGCACAACACAACACTCACAGGATGAGTATGGGGAGCACAACACACCACTCACAGGATGGGGAGGTGTGTGTTGTACATTAACGCTTCGATTAATAAATCCTAGTGTCCTATTTTCCTTATTACGAGGTTTTATGTATTGTTTTCTAGTTTTAAATTCTTACTAATCATAACTCCCAGATCTCTGTCGCTATCCGACTTTGCAATCTCAACACCATCTTGCTCGTATCTAGTAACTCTTAACATCTAACATCATTACCGAGCCTCAAAACCTTACATTTGTCAGCATTAAACTGCATCTGCCAAACTTTTGACTATTTCAAAACCCTATTTAGATCGCCCTAAAGTGATATCGAGTCTTTATCCGTGTTTAGTTCCCTCCCGATTTTTGTATCGTAAGCGAATTTGCAGATATTGATGCTCAAACCTGAATCTAAATCATTTATATATATTATGAATAACAGAGGTCCCAAGACAGAGCCTTGAGGCACTCCACTTACAACACCTTCCAACTCTGATAATTAACCCCATTTATACTAACTCTCTGCTTCCCCTGGAATAGCAATGCCCTAATCCAACTCAAGACGCTTCCACTGCACATACGGGGCATAACTGGCCGACCCTTCACAATGTTCAAGAGAGAACTTGATAAACACCTCCAAAGGATACCTGATCAACCAGGCTATTACTCATACGTCAGGCTGCGAGCAGTCATTTCCAACAGCCTGGTTGACCAGTCCAGCAACAAGGAGGCCATCGAGAGCATTCACTGTCGGTGTTGTCCGGCCTCGAGTGAATGATAACTGTTCAGCAGTGCGCTGGACAGTTATCATGGTGCCGCCTTGCCCTTGGTGGGACCAAAGAGCCAGAGCTCAACCCCAGCAAGCACAACTAGGTGATTACATTCACAGGGCTCAGTTCTGGATAATTAGGATCTTCACTGGACTTGGCTGCTGGGGAGAGAGAGGGATGGTTGCTATAATGATGAATGGGAGGTTCTTGTTCTGTTAGCTCTGTTTCATGAATGAATTAAATATAGGACAAGGTACCCTTCGGGTGAGCTTTGAAGTGGGTATAGCTGAAGAATTCCCGGTGAGAGGAAAGGTCAAAGTTGGAGAGTCAGAGCCTGGGCTAGACCCAGCTGCACGGCGTATTTGAGGCTTTCCTCATTTACTAAGGAAAAATGTAAATAAATTACATTTACTCCCAGCCTAAGCCAGCCACCAGGCTGGCTTAGGCTGGGAGTATTTATTTGTTTGGGTACAAGCCTCCTCTGAAGTGTCACAAAATATTCCTGTACTTTCGACTTACCTAACAGTTACTTTTTAAATCGGCTATATATATATATAGCTGATTGTGTATAATATAATTAAAGTATTTATATAATATTACTCCAGAGATAAAATCAATTCCATGAAAATGAGGTTCATTGTCCACACACCAGCTATACCATGACTAAACTTGTCATATTAGTAATATTTAATGATGTTAAAGACGTTTGTAGTTTAGTTAATTTATTATGCACCCCATACCCATCCTGTGGACGGTAGTGGCCCCCATACCCGTCCTGTGGGCGGTAGTGGCCCCCATACCCATCCTTTGGGCGGTAGTGGCCCCATACCCATCCTGTGGGCGGTAGTGGCCCCCATACCCATCCTGTGGGCGGTAGTGGCCCCCATACCCATCCTGTGGGCGGTAGTGGCCCCATACCCATCTTGTGGGCGGTAGCGGCCCCCATACCCATCCTGTGGGCCGTTGTGGACACCATTCCAATCATGTGGGCGGTGGTGGACCCCCATACCCGTCCTGTGAGCGAGAGTGGACCCAATACCCATCCTGTGGAGGGTAGTGGCCCCCATACCCATCCTGTGGGCCGTTGTGGACACCATTCCAATCATGTGGGCGGTAGTGACCTCCATACCCATCCTGTGAGCGAGAGTGGACCCAATACCCATCCTGTGGGGGGTAGTGGACCCCATGTGGGAACCGACCTGTGAGATTTATATTTATTTAATTTATATGAATTTATATTTACGTTAATTTATATACTTCGATAGCATTTTGTATAATGATGATTGGACTGTATTTCTGCAATAATCTCTTAATCTCACAAATCGATCCTCTACACATTAGGGGGGTTTATGTTAATTTATATATATGCAGCCAATCTTACTACAGTATTAACTACATACATTGAAAAGGTTCCTTATCTTATTTGTACAGCAGGTTAGTCCACCAGGTATAACTAGGGTGTAGACACCACATTTTCCCTCTTTGAGGTAGCTTCCATCACCCTGGTAACTGATGCACAAAGCCTTGCTTCCTCGTCTTGACCTGTCAAAAGGGCGCTAACTGTGAAGCCAGAATCCTATATATGACAGGTATATCAGAGAAACACTGTACAAGGAACAATAAAGACCTGGCTTAATTACCTTTAGTTTGAGGCTATGTCGTGCTCTAACCGGGTCACCCTATATAATGACATTAATGGCCATAAATGAAAGATACATGGGTTTCGGAAAGAACACTTAACTTGAATTTGTTGACAGCGTGTTGAAGATGGTACACCTTTGGTTTCCATAACACTACATCCAAGTAAAATTAACAGGAGCCGTATTTGCTCCCTTGAGCCTCTGGTCTAGTATCAACAATGACAATGTCTAACACTCCATACTATTGACGCTACTGGCCGACATTGTCCAGATATAATAGGAGCCGAATTTGCTCCACGCGTCTCGGATAACAATGGCTGCTCCTCCTTCCTCACTGACGCCTGGCCTACATTGTCCAGATGTCAATAAGTGATAGAAGGGTCACATTTACTCTACTTTAATACTGATAATTAAGTTAATTTATATGAGATGTTTTACTGATGGTAAAGTCCAAAGACTAATGTATTTAAGAATAATTCCCAGCAGAATAGCTGGTGAATTATAATAGTATGTGGTGATGATATCCCGTTTTCTATAGACAGTAATTCCACTACAAGTTACGTTTTCTATGGGTAAGGATATTGCACTTGTTTATACAACACAGCTATTATCTGTCTGTATGATATTTAATGGTGTCGGATTTTCCGACATAATTCCCCAGGGGCTGCTCATGGGTCGAAGTCCTCTTTAGAACAGACGAACACCGATACTCCTCCTTCGAATTATTAGATTAATTTGATGTTAGTAGTTAGTAATCACACATTTGTGTGTCTGTTCGTACAGGACGGATGTCCCGTACTAGAGTTGCAGGGGTTAGAAGTCTAATGCGATTTCATTTCCCTGTTAACTCTTGAAAGGCTAATATTCAAGCCTTATTACATATTATTTAACCCAGAAGACTGAATGTGATCAAGTACTACAGTCAAGTATGATTCAGGGACTGCAGTGAGATCAGTGACATTAGATATAACTTGAAGTTTGTTCAGGTAACTAGTCACTGATATATAAACACTGAGGCCCATGGAATACATCTTGATTAAATAATAAATGTATCAAATCAGTCATCAGATTTATTGGGGTTTAATTTAGTTAATTGATTCAGAAGATTGAATAGCTCATCATTAAAGTAAAGTATGGTTCTGAGACTGCAGTGGGTTCAGTGACATTGGTCGCAGTGACTTGTAGCTGTTTTAGGCTACTGTTCACTGATTTGCCACTGAGGCCTCATGAACTCATCTTCAGCTTCAAATGATGATACTAACATCAACCTCTGTTACTATAGTCAGCTGTAATCTCCTTAGTATAATGCTACTGGAGAAATATAGTCAGCTGACAAATTTAGATTTCAATTGGTATTATTTATCTGCAGGCATAGGTCTCCTCAGGCTTGATACTGGGCCTGAGAGTAATTTACCTCCTGCAGAGTTTAACATGGTTATGCCCTGATATTTAGTAAGGCTACCGATGAATTGATGGTAGTAGTCTGTCCCCACAAGGAGAGCTATTTGGCATATAATTTGCTCAAATTTACCTGCAGCTGCTTGATAATAGCTTTCCAGGTCAGCATAATCAACTGGAGATTGTTGTGACAAATCTTCACATTTCTTGATCTGTCTTGTTAAGTGGCCTTTAAGACCTGCAAGCGTTCTTTTCATTCTCCCTGCATTATCCATACTGGCTAGTTGGTGAAGCCTTGTGGGACTTGTACTTGGGTCGCTCATAATACTGAACAAGTACTGATGGTAACCTAGGGTAAATTCTGCACTCACTAGGCAATAATCCTACCTCTTCTAGAGGTTAGCACTTAAAATTAATACACATTATATATATACAATCATACACACTAATGATTTGAGTGATAAACCAGTGTCACTGGAAGTACCTTTAGGTTAGCTCTTCTATATCACCCTAGGATGGTAGAGACACTAATTAATCACTCAAAGGTGTAATGATCATAAGTAAATTATTATATATACAACTCAATTCGAGTTGATAAAAATTACACCCAAAATAGGGTCTGGACCATTCATTAATGGAGTTAGGTTGATCAATATAGTACAACTGACTATGGTAATAATGGGACTAGGATGAGCAATAATAGTTCAACTAGTCAATGGTTAATATCCTACCCTGTTGTGGGTTGGCAATTAGTAAATATTATACTGTGATCACTAGTGCAATATATTAAATAATTCTCTATTTTGGAGAAATAATATACACAATTATTGATAATAGCCTCTATGAAACTTCTAATATTATCTAGAAGTATTAAATATTATTAGTGACCTCGCGAAATAAAGTCCACAAAATACGTAGATAATCTCTCGCGAAATTTAACACCACAAAATCCGTGAACAATCTCGCGACACAGTCACTAATTTGGCTGGCTTCTATATTAGCACTGTCATTTCACAGAATAACACGCCACCAAATATCTGTGGGTGTGCATGAAACCGCTGATGAGGCTGAACTCAGTTGAGGGGGGCTCCTGAGCTCCCACGAGGCAACGCCGCTGTCTTTGACTGGCTGGCCTTTGTTTAAATCACACTGCACTAGTTATTTAATGAATCCACTGGTTAACTGGTTTATCCGGTACTAAGATGACCAAATGTGGGTTCAAAGGATCAAATAATCCGTCATCCGGTTCGAATGATGAGTGGACTGTATTTCTGCAATAATCTCTTAATCTCACAAATCGATCCTCTACACATTAGGGGGGTTTATATTAATTTATATATATGCAGCCAATCTTACTACAGTATTAACTACATACATTGAAAAGGTTCCTTATCTTATTTGTACAGCAGGTTAGTCCACCAGGTATAACTAGGGTGTAGACACCACATTTTCCCTCTTTGAGGTAGCTTCCATCACCCTGGTAACTGATGCACAAAGCCTTGCTTCCTCGTCTTGACCTGTCAAAAGGGCGCTAACTGTGAAGCCAGAATCCTATATATGACAGGTATATCAGAGAAACACTGTACATGGAACAATAAAGACCTGGCTTAATTACCTTTAGTTTGAGGCTATGTCGTGCTCTAACCGGATCACTCTATATAATGACATTAATGGCCATAAATGAAAGATACATGGGTTTCAGAAAGAACACTTAACTTGAATTTGTTGACAGCGTGTTGAAGATGGTACACCTTTGGTTTCCATAACACTACGTCCAAGTAAAATTAACAGGAGCCGTATTTGCTCCCGTGAGCCTCTGGTCTAGTATCAACAATGGCAATGTCTAACACTCCATACTATTGACGCTACTGGCCGACATTGTCCAGATATAATAGGAGCCGAATTTGCTCCACGCGTCTCGGAGGTGACAATAACAATGGCTGCTCCTCCTTCCTCACTGACGCCTGGCCTACATTGTCCAGATGTCAATAAGTGATAGAAGGGTCACATTTACTCTACTTTAATACTGATAATTAAGTTAATTTTTATGAGATGTTTTACTGATGGTAAAGTCCAAAGACTAATGTATTTAAGAATAATTCCCAGCAGAATAGCTGGTGAATTATAATAGTATGTGGTGATGATATCCCGTTTTCTATAGACGGTAATTCCACTACAAGTTACGTTTTCTATGGGTAACTTGTTTATACAACACAGCTATTATCTGTCTGTATGATATTTAATGGTGTCGGATTTTCCGACACCCCATACCCATCCTGTGGGCAATAGTGGACGCCATACCCATCCTGTAGGCAGTAGAGGACCCCATACCCATCCTGTTCGCAGTGGTGGACCCCATACCCATCCTGTGGGCGGTAGTGGACCCCATACCCATCCTGTGGGCGGTTGTGGACACCATACCCATCCTCTGGGCATTAGTGGACCCCATACCCATCCTGTGGGTGGTAGTGAACCCCATACCCATCCTGGGCTCAGAGACTGAACCCCAAAACTAATTTAGTCCAGCATGTTACAATCTCAGCAGGGTACACGGTGTAATGTCTATTAGTATTACATCAACAATGGGAACGGGAAAACTACAAGTCCAGTGAAGACCCCCATGCAGGGGGTAGCAGTGAAGACCCCCATGCAGGTGGTAGCAGTGAAGACCCCCATGCAGGTGGTAGCGGTGAAGACCCCCATGCAGGTGGTAGCAGTGAAGACCCCCATGCAGGGGGTAGCAGTGAAGACCCCCATGCAGGGGGTAGCGGTGAAGACCCCCTTGCAGGGGGTAGCAGTGAAGACCCCCATGCAGGGGGTAGCAGTGAAGACCGCCATGCAGGGGGTAGCAGTGAAGACCCCCATGCAGGGGGTAGCAGTGAAGACCGCTATGCAGGGGGTAGCAGTGAAGACCCCCATGCAGGGGGTAGCAGTGAAGACCCCCATGCAGGGGGTAGCAGTGAAGACCCCCATGCAGGGGGTAGCAGTGAAGACCCCCATGCAGGGGGTAGTGGTGAAGACCCCCATGCAGGGGGTAGCAGTGAAGACCCCCATGCAGGGGGTAGCAGTGAAGACCCCCATGCAGGGGGTAGCAGTGAAGACCCCCCATGCAGGGGGGTAGTGGTGGTAAGCTAACAATCACCCACATTTACTACCCCCAGTTACCAAACTGGGGATCATTGGTTCAAATTTCTGGTAGTAGATCATTTTTAATTATATAGATGAACATTTCTTGAACATATGTAACAGAGCTGTGGCTCAACATGAGGTGTGGTGGAGGACTAAGCAGGTTGTTGTGGTTTATGAACTGCTCACCGTAGAGTTGAGGACTGTGACGTAGTTGTTGTGTTGTAATTGTGAGTATTTGTCTGTCACTCGGCGTCTTCCAGAGCACATTTACCGCTGGTATAGTTGTCCTCGTATGGCGGCATTCACTCCCGGTGTTGTCCGGCCTTGAGTGAATAATTGACGTCCAGCGGTGAGCTCTGTCCAGGTCATAATGGCAGCCTTTAGGGCTGACTAAGCTGCTGGGGAGAGATGGTTGCTTGCCTGATGGATGAGAGGATGAGACTTGCGTCGTAAATGTTGTCTGGGTAAGTCTGCCACTTGTGTCTGCAAAGTCAACAACGAAGACTTTTTCACCAAGTCTTGCAATAACTGCAGTGTCAAAGTAGCGCAATAAGGCTCGTCGGCGCTCCAGGGTCATTCCGCTTATACAGAGCTCTGACTAACATGCTCCTGATACTCCGTAATTACTGAAAATGTTATAATAAATATCGGCTACGTTGCCGATTTTTAAAAATAAACTCCATGAAAATTCAAGATAAACTTAACCCAGCTACAAAAGTAGCCACATAAATATAATCTCTTTATTTAGACAGACAACATATTTTTATGGTATTACTAATAAAGTTTATAAAAAACTGTCAAGTTTTTAGCAGAATTCATGTTAGATTTAAGTTTAAATATTTGTCAATTTAAAGTTTTGACTAAAGTATAATTAATAAACATATAAATTGTAAATATTTTATAATGTGATGAAATGCGATTAAGCCACTACATCTGTTATCACTAACTATTATTGGTCTATCACACATGGTCGAGCTTAAGCTCTAAGCCCCGACTTTCCAGCAATAGTGTGGTAAACACAATCACTTCCTGCATGTGTTATTGTATTGTCTTGTGAAGGTGAGTGTAAAGTGCTTTAAGTTCCCTTCTAAACCATACAAACCAACACATCACAACACAGGACAACATCCTCCTGTGTTTGAGTGAATGTTGTTAAGATGTTTACGTACAACTGTTACTTTGGATACCCTCTCCACTCACACTCGTGGATTTCGGGTTCGATCCCCAGAAGGGATAGTAAGGGCTGGGTACGTTTTCTTTCACGTAAATGACGGCCGACTAAGCAATATATTTGTGAACACTAGTGTTTTTTTTTTTTTTTTTTTTTTTTTTTTTTGAGATATATACAAGAGTTGTTACATTCTTGTACAGCCACTAGTACGCGTAGCGTTTCGGGCAAGTCCTTAATCTTATGGTCCCTGGAATACGATCCCCTGCCGCGAAGAATCGTTTTTTCATCCAAGTACACATTTTACTGTTGCGTTAAACAGAGGCTACAGTTAAGGAATTGCGCCCAGTAAATCCTCCCCGGCCAGGATACGAACCCATGACATAGCGCTCGCGGAACCCCAGGCGAGTGTCTTACCACTACACCACGAAGACTGCAAACGGTTAACTACTGTACACGTTCCTCTGTTGTGCACTTAACTCTTGTGAAAGAGAAAACATGCACTCTCTTAAACATTATATAGTAGAATGTCCCATACTGACTGACTTTCGCCCTCCTGGGCTAAGGTATGCTGAACTGTGTAATTACTATATGAGTACTGGAACACTTGATGATATATTGGACTTGTATCCAAGATTGACCATATAATATATTAATTATACAATGTATGTATGTGATGTAACTATATAACCTGAGCTTGTAAAAGCATCTAAATCATCTTCAGTGATTAAGTGCTTAATTGCACACTAGTTTCTCTGTCAGCTATCTCACCCTGTCAGATTAAAAGAGACAAATGTATGTGAATGCATGTGTGTGTATATATGTATGTATATAGGCACAACTCTCCTAAACACGAGAGTTAAGTATACAACTTTAGAACACTTTCCCACCAGGAGACTCGAACCCTAGCCAGCACAGAAGCCTTCCAGCAACTGGCATAACAGGTACGCCTTAACCTGCTCCACCACCCGCTCAGACCCTTAAAAGAGATGGTAATTTCGGAGTATTTAAATACCCCAAAGATCAACACCTCCCAAGAGCACCAGAGCAAGTGAGGGGTCATTTATACATTAATTTCATCAAGTCCCTGTTAATATGGGAAGACACAGTGTCTCTGCTTAAGGCACAACTCTCCTAAACACGAGAGTTAAGTATACAACTTTAGAACACTTCCCACCAGGAGACTCGAACCCTAGCCAGCACAGAAGCCTTCCAGCAACTGGCATAACAGGTACGCCTTAACCCGCTCCACCACCCGCTCAGACCCTTAAAAGAGATGGTAATTTCGGAGTATTTAAATACCCCAAAGATCAACACCTCCCAAGAGCACCGGAGCAAGTGAGGGGTCATTTATACGTTAATTTCATCAAGTCCCTGTTAATATGGGAAGACACAGTGTCTCTGCTTAAGGCACAACTCTCCTAAACACGAGAGTTAAGTATACAACTTTAGAACACTTCCCACCAGGAGACTCGAACCCTAGCCAGCACAGAAGCCTTCCAGCAACTGGCATAACAGGTACGCCTTAACCCGCTCCACCACCCGCTCAGACCCTTAAAAGAGATGGTAATTTCGGAGTATTTAAATACCCCAAAGATCAACACCTCCCAAGAGCACCAGAGCAAGTGAGGGGTCATTTATACGTTAATTTCATCAAGTCCCTGTTAATATGGGAAGACACAGTGTCTCTGCTTAAGGCACAACTCTCCTAAACACGAGAGTTAAGTATACAACTTTAGAACACTTCCCACCAGGAGACTCGAACCCTAGCCAGCACAGAAGCCTTCCAGCAACTGGCATAACAGGTACGCCTTAACCCGCTCCACCACCCGCTCAGACCCTTAAAAGAGATGGTAATTTCGGAGTATTTAAATACCCCAAAGATCAACACCTCCCAAGAGCACCAGAGCAAGTGAGGGGTCATTTATACGTTAATTTCATCAAGTCCCTGTTAATATGGGAAGACACAGTGTCTCTGCTTAAGGCACAACTCTTCTAAACACGAGAGTTAAGTATACAACTTTAGAACACTTTCCCACCAGGAGACTCGAACCCTAGCCAGCACAGAAGCCTTCCAGCAACTGGCATAACAGGTACGCCTTAACCCGCTCCACCACCCGCTCAGACCCTTAAAAGAGATGGTAATTTCGGAGTATTTAAATACCCCAAAGATCAACACCTCCCAAGAGCACCAGAGGAAGTGAGGGGTCATTTATACGTTAATTTCATCAAGTCCCTGTTAATATGGGAAGACAGTGTCTCTGCTTAAGGCACAACTCTCCTAAACACGAGAGTTAAGTATACAACTTTAGAACACTTTCCCACCAGGAGACTCGAACCCTAGCCAGCACAGAAGCCTTCCAGCAACTGGCATAACAGGTACGCCTTAACCCGCTCCACCACCCGCTCAGACCCTTAAAAGAGATGGTAATTTCGGAGTATTTAAATACCCCAAAGATCAACACCTCCCAAGAGCACCAGAGCAAGTGAGGGGTCATTTATACGTTAATTTCATCAAGTCCCTGTTAATATGGGAAGACACAGTGTCTCTGCTTAAGGCACAACTCTCCTAAACACGAGAGTTAAGTGTTTAGGAGAGTTGTGCCTTAAGCAGAGACACTGTGTCTTCCCATATTAACAGGGACTTGATGAAATTAACGTATAAATGACCCCTCACTTGCTCTGGTGCTCTTGGGAGGTGTTGATCTTTGGGTTATTTAAATACTCCGAAATTACCATCTCTTTTAAGGGTCTGAGTGGGTGGTGGAGCGGGTTAAGGCGTACCTGTTATGCCAGTTGCTGGAAGGCTTCTGTGCTGGCTAGGGTTCGAGTCTCCTGGTGGAAAAGTGTTCTAAAGTTGTATGTATGTATATATGTATATGTACGTATATATATGTATGTGTGTATATGTATGTGTATAAAGTACATATGGAAGCTGATCAGAATTACATTACACCCTCGTAAATGCACATTAATGACACTTCGAACACTTTATGTAGGGCATACGTAAATCTAGCTGTGTATCTTTGTATTTACGTATGTAGGTTAGCTTAGCATTTTAAACGTACCGAATCACCTTCTGTGGTTGATTGTTGAATAAATCACTGAACTATATGTTTAACAGATCTCTAACCCTGTCCATGGAGGACAGAAGAAAATGTATATATGTGGGTTAGCATTGTAAATGTGTGGCTACGTCTGTGGTAGAAAATAATAAAAATAAAAAAATAAAATAAAAAAAATAACTCACAGGATGAGTATGGGGAGCACAGCACACTGTAACGCCAGGAGAGTGCACCCATGACTCACCATGGGAAAGTCCTGGTAAGATCAGCCTGTACCTCAGATTCAGCTAGAGTTAATTGAAATATTTTCTGGCTTCTCCCCTAGTCAGCTTGTTCCTGTTATGAATAATCCTGATGGTCTTGGCAAACAAATTAATGATACATTTTGATTGTTTTTTTGTATGTCATGGGCAGCTGAGGTCCTGATGTGCTGACCAAGTTGGCTGAAAGAGAGAGCAGGCAACAAATAAAAACAAAATCCGAAATCAATATTAAAAACAAACTGATAAACGAAAAATGTAAAATAAAAATGAAAATTATATGTTAAACGTTAATAAAAATATTTCAACATTAATAGAAACTTTAAATATTTACATAACATTGATATAAACATTTTTGTTACATAAAGAAGTAGTCAAAACTTTGTATATATAAGATACATGCATTACGTTCTAATTAGTCAGTCTAATACTAATCCAAACGTACCATGCTACACAAAGTCAAGAGAAACATGCACAGTGGTGGCTGCCATTCTGGACGATCATGTGGTCGGC